CAGAGAAAAAGGATATTAGGCCAGCCTCAATATACCAAGAACAGATCACAGTCCTTCTGGGCTATTTGAATTGGGAGTTTGGGTTCAAAGCAAGAGTATACTAAAAGTACTAGGGATATGCTATAAAGTCAGTACTGGGGTTTGGGTAAACTCTGTAAGGGTAGCCCATATTAGTGTTCTAAAAGTGGGTAGATAGTTAACAATGAGGGGCCTCCTGTGCCTTACTGGCAGGTGACATACTCTGAAATGTGTAATGGCCTGGGAACCAGTACAAAAAGAGTAGGTACCATACTGCTCAAATGGTATACCAGGTAGGTATATACTGGGGGTTAGTTTGGGAATTCCAATATAACAGGGCAAATGATTAGAGAGTTTAAATAGATAATCTTCTAGTAGGTTATAGGTGTAACATCTAGTATAGAACCTTAGGGTGGACTACTTAAATAGGCAACCAAAAGTTGCATGCATAACTAGCTGTACTCTCATTTCTGTAAAAATAGTTGTAATAGCTAACCCAATATAAAGTCAATAAAGTATTGCCACAAATATGGCCTTAGCAAAAAAAAAAAAAACTGAAATAAAATAAGCTTTACAATCCCATTTCCAAGATTATTTTAAAAAACTACTATATAGTCCAATTCAAAAAAACACAAAATTCTACAAACTTTACAAACCTTATTCAGAACATGAACCTCTTTTTGTTAACTTATTCTCAGAAATTATTTCAGAAGAATGGAACCAAGTCATATATGATCTTCCAAACCAAAAAGCTGCTAGTCTATCTGAAACTAATTATGAATATCTAAAATACTTAAACTCTAAAGCCCAAAACATTATTCGACTTTTTCTAACAAAATGCCTCTCATTACAACAAATACCAACAATATGAAAAACTTTTAATATATTTTTAATTCCAAAGAAATCCTCATAGGACTTTACATTAGATCAAGTTAAACCTATTTCACTCATTGAACCCATTAAAAAATGCCTTACTAAAATCTTTATAATATGTCTTGATCAAATTATAAATTAATATCATCTACTAAGTGATTTAAATTTTGTAGCAACTAAAAACAGCTCTATTCACATTCCTATACAAATACTACTAAATACAATTAAATATTACAAAACTAATTATAAAGAAGCCTGGATACTTTTTCAAGATATGTCCAAGGCTTTTGACAAAATCAACATCAAATGATTGTTAAACACTTGTAAATGTATTGGCATTCCTAAACCAGGTCTAAATTTTATCGAATTTCTTCACCAAGACAGAAAGGCTAGAGCAATCACAGCCTATAGCCTTACCAATTCAATTACACTATATTCTGGCATTGAACAAGGAAAAACTTATTCACCACTACTTTGAAAAATTTATTACGATCTTATTCTCAGCTATATAAATTCAAAATACAACTCAAAACTTCTCAAAATATCTTTACAATCTTCTCTTGACACAATCTTTTTAACTGCATCAATGCAAACAACAATACCACCCCTTGCCTTTATGGATGACACAGTTTGGCACTGTGAATCTAAAAATAACCTTCAAGATATTTAAATGATATATCTGAACTCTATCAACTAAATAATATTTAAGTAAACTCATCTAAATCAGACCTTATTCACATTACATCCAACAAAAAAATATTACCTAACACAGTACCAGATACAACACCTCTTACCTTTAATAACCAATCAATTACACCTAGAAAATCCAATAAAATAATTAGATACTTAGGAATTTTTCTAGATGGAAAAGGATCAACTAAACCAACACTTGATAAAATTTTTGACAAAACCTCCTAATTCATTCATACTATTCAATACAAAAAACTTCTCTCTATACAAATATCTTATTTACTTAATACTATTTTATTACTATCAATAGAATATCTACTTCAAATATGTTCCTTTCCACAAAACAAACTTTAACAACTATCTAGCCTTCTAACAAAATGTACCAAACACATGCTTCACTTATCTATTAATACAAACAATGATATTCTTACAAATCTACAACTACTCAATATTCCAACATTCAACAAACTCATGTTACAAACTTGCAATAGTAATATAGAAAGATGCTTTAATAATAATATACTCTTAAATCAAATTTCAATATATCATATTAAAGAATGGCTTTCAAAAATATGGAAACCATTTCTAACTCAAAATACAATCCTAAAAAATCATAAGAAAACTATTAATTTTACTATAATATTCTAATTCTATTACATATACAAAAGCAATATTTTTATTAATAACACTTACTTAAATCAATTAACATTTCACAAACAAACTAACCAACTAAATAATATTTACAACTTCATTACATCTTTAAATAACTCAACAACCTTAAGTTTAAAAAACAACAAAATTCTCTTTCTTGAACAACTACTTACAGCTGATAATCTTTACTTACTTCTCTGAAAAAACATATATCTTAGAACTCTTAAATCTTCTCAAGGTCCTATTTCAAGCTGGTTTAAAATACTCTCAAATCAAGTCTCTACATTTCCTATCTTACAAATATGGCCTAATCTTCAACTTCAATTTATCAACCCATTTCTAAATACACTAAACCTCATCACACCTCAATTTGATAGTTCTAAAAACACATGAACACTTTATACCTCATCTTTTAATTGGCATATTGGCAAAATAACAAATATATTCAACTCCCCAATTCTTTTTCAAAAATACCAAATTATCAATTTAATGATCAATACAATTCATATCTTTCCTACATCCACAATGCTCCAAATAAACTACAATCAATGATCAACCTAAAATGCAAAACTCAAAAAAGAATACAATATTTTGAACTTAATATAAATAATCAAGAAATCCAAGCACTTCAAAATATTTATGCAGAGTTATATAAACCTGCTCTGCAACTCTTATCATCTCTTTTATTATCTTCTCCAGAAATCATTCAAATACAAAACATAATACTGAACCTTATATATCAAAACCAACTCATAAACCTTTATTAAAAAATACTACTTCTTGATCCAACTAATTTATATTTTTATACTGATGCTTCTATACTTAATTCACAAACATATAACATATCTACAGGCATTGCCTGGATCCTCAAAAATGATACACAAATTCAATTTAATGCCTCTATAACTCATGTACTCAACTCTACATGAGCAGAACTAGCAGCACTTATTTCTTTATTTCTTATTCTACCTACTAATTACCAAATTCATATTCATCTAGATAGCTTATCTACCATTCAAACCCTTACAAATGCAATATCTTACAACCAAAATTTCCAAACTAAACAAAATAACTGAAATATAATTCATATTCTAAATTACTTAATCAAATATAAAAACATTAACTACACTACTTATAAAGTTAAATCACATTCATATAATATACTACACAATATAACTGATGCTTTAGCTAAACAGGATGCTTGTAAAACTAAACTAAAAATCAATCTTAACTACCTCTATCTATCTACCTTTTTTACTTAGAAAGAAATACCAATCACATACAAACTACGAAAATTTTGTAAAAACTTACTTTCTATTCAAATATTCAACAAACTTCTATAACTCAAACTATTACAAAATCTTCTGACAATAAACATCTAACTTCTTATAGAAATTATTAACTCTCAAAACTCAAATCCTAAACTATATTCTATTAGGAATAAAATACTTCTTAATAACTTATCAACAATGTCAAATTTAAATACTCACTATCCTCTCCTTTACTTAATTTCAAATTGTTCAATTTGCAACCAATATGAAAATACTGCACATCTCTTACAATGTTCACTCTACTCTTATAACCCACAAAACATTCTCATCAATCAAATCTCTAACACATTAAACTCATTAAACCTCTCAGAAACCTTATCACATATAATAATACAAATTTTAAATCTACAAAATTCTCTCTCTAACTCTACTATATACAATACAATACTCTTACTTATTTAAGAAACAATAACTCTCAATCAATATGAACAACTAAAATCTAGTCTAAAAAAACTAACTAACAATTTTTTTACTCACCTATCTAACTCTTTACTCAACTGGTTTAATTCTATTATTTGGCAAACCTGAAATACTAAACAATATAAATGAGAATTAGAATGAGGAATTACCACCTTAACAAAAAAAAAAAACAACACTCGATTACCTATTTTACAAACTTCAAACTCTTCTAGCACTAGCTTTATTTTTGATACTAATATAGATCCTTTTATTCTTAAAACCCTTACTCAAAATTTTACTATATATAACTGTTTTTATTAATTTAAATAACCTCAAGGGCTTCTTTTACCCTTTTCTGTAGTTAATAATTACAATAGTAGATTTAACTAATACAGATAACCAAAGGATAATATCACACTAGATGTTGTTAATATATAGCAACAATAGTGTAGTTTAGGAATAATTTCTACTTATACATTTATATCCAATTAATATACCCATGTATTACTAATTTTTCTACTTGATATTATATAAATAAAAAAAAAAAAAAAAAAAAAAAAAAAAAAAAATCATTCTAGAATTTTTATATTATTATGAGAAATGCACTAATTTTTATTTAGATAAAGAATGTACTAAATTTAAAACAAATTAATAAAATCTAAGAATTTTGACTTAGAATCTTTAATACAAGAGTTTCAAGTTTTATTATGTTTTACTAACACATATTATAAAACTAATACAGATAATTTTATAAAGCAAGTTAAGTTTACATATATAAAAAACCAAAATAGTATTGTACTAAATAACAAACTATATTTTAGTAATAGTAAACTTAGAATGGATAATTTTTTAAGTTCAAATAGTTCTAAATGTAATTTACTTTAATTAGTTTTATAACTAATTAAATTTTTTTCTATATAATTCTTTTTATTAAACATTTCAATAATGTTTGATCAATATAATGCTGCAAAGAGTTAATTTTCAACCTGCTAATTATCTTTTTTATTATATTTATCTTAGCTTAATTCTGTTGCAAACATGTACAATAACAGAATTTCTATAAACAAAAATCAGATTAATAATAAAATTAAAGTCAAGCTTATAGAACAAACTAATTTGATGCAAATAAATAAGAGAATAATTGATCAATATGAAGGAAAATGCCAATACTATGCTTTATATTTGATAATAAATTCTGAAAAAAAAATTTGGATGAGTTATAGAAATAATTCTAGTAAAGGTTATTATATGTATTATAAAGTAGCAGGAGGTAGTTTAGAATTAAATAAATCATTTATTGATTAAATTAAGCAAGAAGTATTTAAAGAAACCAAATTAAATTTAAAAGATTTCTACTTTATTATATATAATGAAGGATTTCATATATTTTTTAACTGTTTAGATTAGTGTTTCTTATAAGCCAAATCAGAACAGATTTTAAAAAAAATCTGAACCAAATCTGAAAAACTAGATCAAGTCTTAAACTAACTTGAAACTGACTAAAACAAATCTGAACCTGACTTGAAACTGTTACTTTTGAGTTATTAACAACTAAGAATATTAAACAGCTTAGTTTAGTCAGTTTTCAAGCCAGTTAAAATAAAGTTAGCTCTAAGTTAACTTCAGTAATATTATATAATATTTACCAAATTGAAAGCAATATATATACAACAATTAAGTTTATCATTATCAGTTTTGTTATCTATTTTAATTTGTACAACTTCATATAATTAAAAACTTAAGTTTAAGTCTTGACTTCTAGAGTTTGGTCAGTTCAGATAGATACTTTAACATCCCTATTGACAATATATATTTTTTTGTCAAATGTATTCTGAACTAGAGATTGTACTAAGGTAAATATTTTTATTATATAGCTATGATAAATTATATAGATAACTAAATAATTTAATAATATTTAGATAGAAATTTTCTTGATAGATACAATATTCTGAATGATACTACAATGTCAACACATCTAAAATTAAGAATTTACTTAAAAGCATATTTAGTATATTTAGTTTAGTTTGTACAAAGATAGTTCTTATTAACTAGCAGATCTTTAACAACAAATATAAAGAAGTTATAATTAATATTTGTTGAAACTGCATTAAAAATTATAATTAAGTGATAGTAAAAATGATAAATTTATTTATTTATATAATATAAATTATAATAAATTTTAAAATAAACAAAAAAGCAATCAGTATGAATTAAATAAAAATATTAAAATGATAACTTAAGAACCTTTAGCTTGTTCATCTAAGTAAACATTTTAAAAAAAAATTCTAATTATCTAATTCTTTTCATTAGAATCTCAAACATATCACTATTTATACTGTTTTACCAGACAATTAATTCCACTTATTAGTTATTATATCATTACTAATACTAAAAACTTGCTTATTTGAAACACTTGTCACTAGAATAAAAAAAAAATTCTAAACAAATTTTGCAAAATTTGAGTAACTTAATATATTTGTTTTTCATTATTTTAAAATATTAGTATTCAAATTAACAGATAATATAAACAAATAAGATTCTAATTTATTTTATTGTTCAAAATATAGCCTTTTATAAATGCATAACAATATATTTATTTTTGATAACTCTCTAATTGTATAAGTTGTGTCTTGAAGAGATGCATATTCAGTTTCATATTTATTAATTATGCTAAAAAATTATTTATATATAATATTTTATTTAATTATTTTTTTTTTAATATTAAGGCAAGTAATTGCAACTCAGGAGTTTATTAATAATCAGTTAGCATATAACTATTGTATACAACAGCTACAGAGGCAATTATGAAAAAAGTGTACAACTAGCCACTTATACAACTTTAGTTATTGTCTATTTTAAGTAGTTCGCCTGAAGGTTCTACACTAGTTGCCATATTTAGAACCCATCTATAGGTTTTCTATTTAAACACTCTAGTTCCTATATCTACTTCTACTCTATCAACTGCAGCCATTGTTGCAAATATACTATGGTCACTAAATCATATTTAACTTTATACTAAGTCTACTAAAGTCTTCTGTATCTTATACTTACAGCTGATCCAGTACTGCTCTGGTCTAAACCATCACTTGCAGTCAGGACTAACTATTAAACTGCTATACTCTTGTAAAGTTTACAGGGACTCCAATACCTTCTTTTTCTAACTTCCATACCCCTACTTCTGGACCTACAAGACCCACAAAACTTCACAAACTACCAATCCAGATGGTCTGTTCAGTGAATCTGGCAGCCTGATTGGTATGTACTCCTCTACATATGTTGTCATCTGATCCATTCAAGGTTCTAGTAATCCTTTTTGGGGGGTTTCCAATGGTTCAGTAGTACTGTTAAAAGTCTATACTACCTTTTTACTTGGGATTTCCAAGTAAGTTTCTAACTCTTCAGTTTTTTTGCTTTCTATGCCTGGTAGTCTTATCGTAGGTTTGCACTGAAGTCTTATGTAATACTGGTTATTAATATTTCTCTATATGAATGTAATATTACATTTTGCATAGATGTCCTGAGCTCTCATTTAAGATGATGCAACAAAGGTTACAGATACACAAATCCAACTGATCAACAAAAACAGTTACCATAACACAGATCTTATTTTCCAAAATTCATCATCTATGGGATTTGAACTCTAGATCTGCCACTTGGGAGTTGACAACCTGACCACTTCACTAGGTCACTACATCTTTTTTATTTAATTATTATATAATATAATTTGTAATTTAATATATATATTCTTAATGTAATTTAATATACATATCCTTAATTTAAGCAATAAGACATAATAATCAGCCAAGTATTTCAAAATACTCAAGTTTAAGATATAAATCAAGATTATTGCTACAAGACCTTAGAGGTTTGATCTTATAAATAATATATTTGAATATTCATTAAATATTTGAATATTTAAATAAATAAATTTTTACTGAATTAAATATTCGAATATTGAATTTATTTATCAAATAATTTATTAAATATTTAGTAAATATATATAATTAAAATTTATTTAATTAATCAATTAAAATGCAAAATTAAATATAATAGTTTATAAATTTTTATTACTTTATTTAATATAATTTTATTTTAAATTAGTTAAATTATTATTTAAAATGCAATAAAGATATTTATACTTTTATTTTATTTTATTTAATATTTGTTAAAAATAACTAATCAATATTTTTAATTTAATTATACTATATATCTTTATATATTTACAAAATAAATAATTTATTTGCCAAATAAATTAATAATATAATAAAAAATTAGTTGCTCTAATCAGTTATATTAACTAATTATTTTAGACATTTATTAACTTTTAATATATTAGTTAATTATAAAATTATTTATTAATTAATATAAATTTTTATAAATTAAAATATAAACTTAATAGATTGTGTTTTTGTATATATTTAAAATTTTAAATTAGTTAAAAATTTTTAAATTTTATATTATAATTATTAGCTAGCTATTTAATTATAGTATTAATAAAGTACAAATTTATTTTTTATTATATTAAATATTCAATGAATATTCAGTGAACATTTAAATATTCATTTGAAATTTTTGAATAAATATTTGAATATTAAAAATATTAAACAAATAAATATTCGAATACGAAAATTTTAAATAAGTAAAATCTCTACTAAGTAGCAGTTAGTAAGAGATGATAGAGAAGATGTCATGATGATAGGTACTGGAGTTTTAGTAAATTTTACAAAGGTAGAAATAGTATAACATAGTAGTTAAACAGGTAACTCCTGTGACTGCAAGTGTTAGGTAACTATAACATGTTGCATAAAATTAGATTAGCTGTATGTAGAATACAGAAGGTTCTAATAAGTTTCCTGTTGAGGATAAACTAGTCCTAAGGGTCTCGAAAGCATCAGGTACTTTGGATAAGTGTAGTTCAGAAGATGTCCTCATGATTACAAATTGGATTACATATGCAGAGAGTTTAAATAAACAAGATTCATAGTTGGCTTGCAGATATGGCACCTAGTATAGAACTATATAGTAATATATAGATGGATTACTTAAATTAGGCACCAAAAGTGCACATATAGCTAGTTGTAACCTCCTATGTATAGAAGACCCTAAAGGTATCTGTGTCCAAATACTTAAATAAAAAAATCGATCCCCAAAGGCAAGAACTTTAATGTTAAAAAAAAAAAATAATTAAAATAGATTCAATAATAATGATAACTGTATTTTATTAATTTTTATCTAATTATTGATTTATATTAATAATAATATATATTGATTATAAATCTGTTTATCAATATAATTATTAATTTATAAACAATATATATTGATTAAATACTAAATATTAATTAATTTTTATAAAAAATTTTTTCTGATAATAATAAAAGTTTGTTAATTAATTGTGATAAAATACTTGTAACTATGATTGCATTAGTATAACTGGCAAGTTATAAGGCATCTATATAACTTTGATTATATAGAGAAATGCAAACTGGTATTAGGTAATGCAAATCTAAAATAAGTTCTTGTATTTATATAAATCTGTAAAACTGGAACTCAATTAAGAAGATCCAAGTAAAAAGACAACACAGATTTTTGATAATATTATTGTAAATTTAGATTTAAAAAATAAATACTAATATAGAAGAATTAAATAAACAAGAACTTCTAAGTAAAAGGTATTACCAATTAAACTGCTAAGTCAAATTAAAGAAAAAAGATATTAAACTAGATTTGATATACTAGGAACAGATTATAGTCTCTTCAAGCTATTTGGATTGAGAGTTAAAAGACAAAGCAGAAGTATACTAAAAATACTAAAAACAAGCTGTGAAATAAGTATTAAAGTATAAATAAACTTTACAAGATCAAATCTTTATTAATAATCTATAAAATAGATAAATAGTTAATAAGAAAAACCTTTTAAACTTATTGACAAATATTGTGTTCTAAAATATATAATGATCTAAGAACTAGTTTAAAAAAAAAAGATATAATATTGCTCAAACAGTATACTAGTTAAGTATATATAAAAAGTTTAGTAATAGTTAAATGGTTAACAAAGCAGATAATTAGAAGGTTTAAATAAATAATCTTTTAGTAGATTATAAATACAACATCTAGTATAAAACCCTAAGACAGACTACTTAAAATAGATAATCAAAAGTTGTATATATGACTAGTTGTACTTTTATTTTTGTAAACTAATTCCAATATGTTAATAAATAACCATCATAAAATATGATTTTTAATAATAATAATAATAATAATAATAATAAAACATTATTATTATACATAATGCTTATACTTTACAATTAGATTTCTTTTTACATTTAATTTTTAATTTTATAAATTACAAAAACAAAACTCAATTTTGACTTTAATCTTTTTAAACTATTGATCTTGTTGATAAAAGTTTAAGTATTTGACTTTTTTATATTAAATTAAATAATATTTTTGCTTAATTAATTAGTAAAACATCTAGAGTCTAATTAAGTTAAACACCCATATTACAATATTTATAGCTAATAAAAAATTTGTTTAGCAAAATAAAAAACAAAAATATCCTTATATAAACATCAACCAATAAGCATTTAAGAAAACATCAACCAATAAGCATTTAAGAAAACATCAACCAATAAGCATTTAAGAATTATTACACAAAATTTTTAACATTAACGATATTAACGACTAGTATATAATAAATTGTACATAGAAAAATACAAACTTTAAAAGATTATATTGCAAAATTTTATTGATATTTTTTGTTTTATATAAAAAATTTGATTTATATAAAATTTTGGTTTGCTTACGCTATGTATTAAAAACGTAAATTTGATTGTGTACTACTTACATACATGAAATCCAGGAAATTAGCGGTTATTACAATTGCTTTCAAAATGGCGTGGACATATTATATACCTGTGAGAAATCGAAGAATCAAGATTCGATTATAACGGCATCAAAAAATTCTAGAAATCTGTAAGGTGTCCACACCCTTTCTCTAATGAAATTCTCTTTTTAGAATCATGTTGCACAAAAATTTTATTCGGTAATATGAATCGGAGTTCTCATTTGTACGTAACTCGCAGCCGACAAAGATAATTCCCTTTCTTAAAAGTTACGTACGTACGTACGTAAATATACAAAAAAATTGGGGTGGAATTACGCAAATTGTCACACAAATTTCCGCAGTAAACTTCCGATTGTTATAAATCCAATTTTTTTATTTGTTGGCGTGCGACCGGAAACTCCTTTAATCAACAGTTTGTCAAAGGGTTTTGAAAGCTCATACCTAAAGAACAGAGAATTATACAAAAACTTTAAATTCTAGTTAAAATGAGTACCAGTACTAGTGAGAAAGCCAGCGGCGAAACTAAGAAAGTTACCTTGAAAAGTTGTGACGATGTCGAGTTCAAAGTCGACATACCTGTCGCAAGTCGCTCCATCTTGCTCAAGAATATGATTGAAGGCAATTATTCGTAAAGTTTATTTTTCTCTAAGAATATTATAGAACGCACTTAAGTGCATAAGCAAAGTCGTGAAAAATAAAGGGCAAATAAATAATTATTTTTGTTCACGTGGTTGCAACACCTTTCAAAATTCTTTACTATAAAGAAAATTTCACAAATTGCATAACATACTAACGCAATTCTACCAAATAGACGTCGGTGAAAGTGATCAATCAATCCCTCTTCCTAACGTCAGCGAAAAAGTTTTAAAAAAGGTACATTGACATCAAGAGTGTAAATGTAGATGTTCTACATGTTTTCAACATAAGTGAGATTAAATTGTTTGTATGATCAAGGTTCTCGAATGGTGCGAACATCATGTCAATGACCCGCAGCCTACTAATGATGATGATGATTCTCGCCGGAGAAATACAGAAATTGATGATTGGGACCAAAGATTCTTAAATGTCGAACAGGATATGCTTTTCGAAATCATTTTGGTTAGTTTTGTGCCTTGTTTATAAAACTTAGTATTTTACTTAACCAAAATCCTAACATATTTGAACTCTTAGGCCGCTAATTATTTGGATATCAAACCATTATTGTAGGATTTTCTTTTTTTATTATTTTACACATTATTTCTTAAGTATTTAGAACTGTTTATTATTAAATTTCCAGGGATATTGGTTGCAAGACCGTTGCCAACATGATCAAAGGCAAGTCGCCCGAAGAAATTCGCACCACATTCAATATAGTCAACGATTTTACTCCTGAAGAGGAAGAACAAATTCGAAAGGAAAATGAATGGGCTGAAGACCGATAAATAGAGATGTTCAATTAGGGAATGGTCGATCGTTTGATTTGTTTGATCGTGACCGATCATAGAAAAATTTTTTTGTGTGTGGTCGGTTGATAAGTGTTTGATCATTAAATAGTCATGCCTCACACCATTCATTACTCGTATACACGTTATTCGTGCGACTCATAAATTTAAATGCAAATAACTTTTATGCTCAGATTAATAGTTTTAAGAATTTCCATTTTTAAAATACAAAATCCAATAGTTATTAAAATATTTTGTTTAAAATTTAAAATATTTTGTTATAATGTTTATTTAATAAATAAAATTTTATTATGGCGTTTTTTTGTGTTAAGGTAAGCATTTAAACTTGTAACTTTATAATAGGTATATTATTAAGAGTAATTTATAATTTAAAGTGAATTTTTATTTTCTAAATTAGATAATAAGATTTAGAATATTTTGAATTTGTGCCAGTGGTTATTTATAACCAGGATGCTATATCTCAAATTCACTAAGTAACCAAGTTCGTGGTTACTAAGTAAAAATGGAAAAACCTTATGTGAACTAAAATTTGGGCATTTTAATCCGGCCTATAATATATTTTATAAACTTTTATTTGATTTTAAAATTTATTTAAACTCTAAATTGTTATTATAATATAAAACAATGTATAATTTTGAATATTATTATTATAACAAAATATAAAATATCTTTTTGATTTGAATATTAAATATGCAAAAAAAAAAGAATTTATTAAAGCAAATCTGTAATATGTGTCAGTTTTGTGATGTAACATAAATTTTTTAAAGTTTTGGTTAGCATTTAGAATAAGATTAAAGACTAGATGGTGTTAACCTGTAGTTTTTCCTTTAAGGGTAGAGTATACGATTTTCAAATTATATATAAAACTTTTGGTAACTTTTTATTTAATTAAAAATAAAAAAA